ATTTTTTAAAAGGAAAAAATTTTATCGAAAAAAAAATTATAAGAAAAAATGTCATAGGGGTTGATTATTTCAACCCCTTACAAAAATAGTTCAGGGTTGAAAAAAATTCAAAAAGTGTAGTTTTATTGACAGATAATGTTCACCAAGTTTGGTTTCTTTAGCTTGATGTACGTGGAAGATAAAAAAGAAAAACAATTTTTTTTGTAATTTTAGGAGGGGCGTAACTTTTCAGGGGAGGGTTTTTTCAAAAAATTTTATACCAAAGACCCCTATTAATTTTCATAAGAGAATCGCCCCTAGAATTTTTTCGGTGTTATTTAGATACACCCTGTATATAAAAAAGATCTAAATGCTTAATAAAATTATTTCTTTCACAATAACTTTCTTACATTTTAAAATTTTTAATCTTACAAAGGCTTATTTTGCAGGGAATTAATTGTGAGGGCTACGTGACCTGTTGAGTTGATCATTTTTAAGCCCTTTATTTTTAAGTTTGAAGGGTTTAAAGGGCTCGAAAAGGGTGGTTCTCTCATTCATACGATAACTTAAAATGGTGATATCTCGATTAATATTAATTTTACTAGAATCAAAAAATAAAGCAAAATCTTCTGCAAAAATAAAGTTAAATTTTTTTAATCTTGTATTTTTTCGTACACCCTTTAATTTTTAAGTTACAGCGTAAAAATCGAATTTTTTTCAAAAATTTGAAAATTTAACTCAAAAATTATTTCTTTTTCGAAATCATGCATTGTAAGTGAGCCAAAGACCCAGAACATATTCTTAGATCGTAAATGAAGAAATCTGTAAATGGATTGCATTTAATTTTAATTCATCATGTTATTTCGATCATATTTCCGTTAATTTTGATTCTAAAGACTTTTAAAACAGCTCATTTTAAATGTTTTTCAAAGTACTTTAAAAAAGGTTCAAATAGTTTTTTCTTAATATTTATGGTTTTGACGTTATTTAACGTTAACTGGTTCCAATTTAGTTTTTAGCTAACATATAATAATGTTTAAAAATCCATAACTCGGTTTATATTGCAATTAGAGAAAAACAAAATAATGCCATTAGATTTGTTTTTTTATTACTTTTCTTTTTGTTCATTACAACTTTTTCGTTAAATCCAATGGTTTCAGAGTTATTTGCAAAAAACTGTCTGAAAACAAGCACTTTCAGTAAAAAATCAACATTTTCAATGACGAATTACTCGGAAAGTATTGGATTATCCAAAAAACTTTATATAACATTTGTTACATAAAATTAACTCCTCTATCGATTCCTGTGGTTATTTTGGGCGTAAAAATTTCCACCCCCAAAAAGGGGTGGAAACGCGGAAACGAAACGATTACGCGGCCCTGTTTCATTGTTATTGATTAACAAGTAACCTGCAATCACCAGGAGTTAGGGGGCCAGGAGTGGGAATGCCCCCCCCCCCCCCCCGCTAGAGCCCGGTACTCAACAAAAAAGAATGATCCAATAATATATCATCCTTTGGTCGGACTTGCTGGTTGACCAGCTGGCCTTCACGGGACCCAACCAAAAATCCTACATATGCCCATGCAAACCCCCCCAAATAAATTTTAATAAATGTTATATACAGGGTGTCAGAAAGAATGGGTCAACAGTAAACTGGAGATACTAGACACCAAAATATTATGTTTGAGCTCATCATGCATTATACAAATGTTACTGGTTTAAGAAATACAGGGTGTTCAAAGTTTAAATATTATTCTGACATTTCTCAATAATTCAGAAAGTTTTGATAGCACGACGCTGAAAATTGGTAATGTTGGGTTTTTTGGCGTGAGAATTACGAATTTGAAGCTTATTTTGATGTTGCTCCTAGAGGGCGCTAGTTTCACCATATTATTTAGGTAAATCAGAACATATTTTTTTTCTGTTGAGCTATGCTTAAAAAACTAAAAATCTAAAAGAATGTTCAATTCTACATAAAAAATGTACTATTTAATTAAATGTATTTTGTGGTGATTTTTTATTTTCAAAAGATGAAAATAACAATAACAATGATTGATAATAGTAAAAACAAACCGTAAATCAAATGCTGGAAGTGTCCACCACCTACACATTTTATTATACACTTTTAAATGTCTGAATATTAAACAAAATATTCCTATTATTTTTAAATGCATTCGCGGTTACTTGTATTTTCTGCCGCAACTCCTCAACAGAATTAATTTCTTCACGATACACCACATCCTTCGAATTTGGCCACTCTGAGAAGTCCAGAAGTCTGGACTTCTTGGTGCACCGTCATGCATAAACCACATATTCTCTCTTAAAGCGAGTGGTACATCATCTAGAAGCTCGTTTAAATTATGTTGAAAAAATAATGAACTCCAGTTAAATTGGGTGGCAATTGAAAAGGTCCTATGAAAAAACCAGAAATTAAATCACACCAAATATTCACTTTGAACTGAAAATGTCTTTCTTTTAAAGCAAATAAATAACTGTTAATAGTAAATAAATAAAATCTTATTGAGGAAATCTGGGTTTTCCGTTTGCATATTTTGTATAAACTGAGCAAATTGTAGGCGAGCTGGTAAATCTTGAGGCAATAACTGCTGAACCGGAGTATAATGACATGGATAGAGCATTTCTTTTTTCAAAATTCTACAAATGAACGATTGGTTTACCCCCGTTGCCGCATTTAACCGACGAGTACTAGTAAAATTTTCTCTTCTTCATCGACTGTGATAGATTTTGGAGTACCGTTAGTCGAAAAGATCCAAATCCGCCTAAGCGATTGTAAAGATTTCTGAATAGTTTATAATTAGGTAATCTATTTGGGTACAATTGCACATATCTTCGGGCCGCTGCATGTACATTAAAATTAGCCTGAGCAAAAACAAATCATATGCATCTTACCGTTGGAAAAATTATTATGTCATGGCATTTTTTGATCACTAGGCTAATAATTTTGCACGAATAATAAATCACATGCAAGCAAAATACGTTATTTTAGATTTTTAACTTTTTTAAAGCATAGCTCAATAGATAAAAAAAATATGTTCCGATTTACCTAAATAATATGATTAAACTAGCGCCCTCTAGGAGCAATGTCATAATAAATTTCAAATTCGTAATTCTCACACAAAAAACCAACACTACCAAGTTTCATGCTAACAAAACTTTATTGAGAAATTTTAGAATAAAATTGAAATCTTGAACACCCTGTATTTCTTAAACCAGCGACATTCGTATGAGGCATGATGAGCTCAAACATAATATTTTGGTATCTAGTATCTCGTTTAGTGTTGACCCATTCTTTCCGATTCACCCTCTATAAAATATGGATTTAAGACATACCTACACAAAAAATATATACACCTAGAAAATTTACCATTTAAGTGTGACATAGGGTTAAAATAGGAATTAATATCAATGTATATTGTGTTTATTCAAGATTACATTTATCATACAAAAGAATATAGATGGGGATATACCCATTTATATTGCTAAAAGCTATAAAAATACGAATAAGTATCCTTAAAACTGCAAAAGCTCTTATAACTAGAGATATGTAAAAAATAATTAGTATACCATCGAGCTTTAAATAAAAATAATAAATGCATAGCTCTGGTAAAAATGACTTTAAGTAACGATACACTACAGATACCTAATAGTAAGTACACTCACGAACAAAACACTTAGTAATACACAGCAAACTGACAAAAATTTAAGTTTTACAGAAAATACAGTTAGACATGTCTACGACAAAATGTTCTTTTAACTTTTTTTGTGAGTGTACCTTCTTATGTATTGCCAAAAAATATAAAACTATAAAATAACTTCCACATATTTCTATTGTTATTTGTAATAAGTCATTTGGTAATGTAGAAAAAAGGCCATAGGTTTTGGCAGTTTAAAATATTTTTGGCTAGTGTCACATCAAAGAATTACATGAAAATTATTTTCTCAATCACATTAAATACTTAAAATTAGAGATAGAAAAAATATCACCTACCTAGATTAAATAAAAGCATAATAAATAGAATTCGACAAAGTAACATGCACAATTCATTATAAAAAAAATTATAAAAAATATAACAATATTTTTTGCCAATGTAGGGGGCAACATAAATGAGAAAAATATTCACATGTATTATGAACACCCTAAATAAATAAATATACGACTTGAGTATTTAATATTCCCACTGGGTGGCATTTTCAATGTTTGTGTCACCTAGACGGAAGCATCCATTCTTGCTGGCTGTTAAGTAGTTACCGTTGGCAGTCTTTATACATAAACGGGTGGGCTCCCTTAACTCCAAATAGAAACCTTCAGGAGTATCAGAGTCTGCAGTGACTCCTTCACTGTCAACATGCCAGTACTTATTATTCTGACCTGAAAATTGAAAAAAAAATAAAAAATTAGTCCCTACATATGCCTCGGTGTGTGTCCATTTAATGGTCTGTATGTTCTTTCATCACAAGCCTTACTTTTTATTAAAGAAAAAAATCTTATTGTGAGAATATCACATTTATACAAAGTAGGTATCACAAACAGCATTTCATATGAAAATATACGGCATTGGAAAATAGGAGTAGTGTTAATGGTTATTAGTTAAGGAAATATAAGTAGACTAATTTAAACCCGACGGATTATTTCATAAGATGCAGTTAAATGAAAATTGCCAGTCGATACCCTCGAGAATCTAAGAGAGAGAATAGTGCAGACATGTCAAAAATTAACTTTACTTCAGTATCGGTCGGCCACCTGTTTCACAATTAGATGTCGAGCTTGCTTACAAGACCGAGGCAATCATTTTGAACAAAGTACTTTCTAAAGAATTTATTTTCATTTTGATATTACCTTTTCATATTCCATTTTAGTTATAATTTATGAACATTACTAAACTCTCATTGCTGTTAAGGGTCTTATTTAATTTCATCAAGGTAACAGATTTATCTACTACACTTGAAAAAAGTTTATGGTTAAGTTACTGAAACCTTCACGTCATTACAAGTTTTACTTAAATATCTCTACTCATTTTCAAGATATTAAAAATAACAATTTTTTTTTTAACTTTTGGTCTTTATCAACATGTATCTCGAAAACAAAGCATTTCCAGCTCTGTTATTATATATATATTTTTTACTTATTTTTATGTGAGGAATATGTCCTCAAAGTTTGTCGACTTAACCCTGAAAGTATAGTGCACTAGTAATAGGTTAAAATTACCTTTAAAGTAAACTATGCCTTTTTCCCCTCTTTCCACTTGAATGGTTTCATATGTAGCCTTATTACATTCCAATTTTGGACTTGAGGCAGATTTGTATCCAACAAAACCTTGCTCCGACTTAAGTACGAGAATAGGCCTATTCACGAGGTAGAAAAAGTATTTGCAAGTGTCATCGATTGTGTCTGAGGTTGCATATAAGTGACCTGAACGTTTTGTGATCACGTAACGGCCGTTATTAGCTCTAAAAGCTACAGAACCGTCCATTTGCCATACTAAATCAAAGAGAGCATTTGAAGATCTGAAAAAAAAAAACAAAAAATAATTTTTTTAATACATGTTTTTGCATAAGATAATTATATGATATTAATTATATGATACCGACATATGAGAAGCGAGAAATACAATACAAACATATTTTCCTATTATACAGGGTGTTAGTAAATAAGTACGACAAATTTCAGGGGGTGATTCTACATGAGAAAATAATGGCAGTTTGCTTATAAACGTATGTCCGCAAATGATTCGTTTTCCGAGATACGGGGTGTCAAAGTTTTTCTTAAAAATTGACGATTTAATTTATTGCTCTGAAACCGGTCGAGATGTGCAAATGAAATGTGAAAATGTGAAATAATGTAAAAGAAATAAAAAATACGCGTTAAGATGTTTTATTTTTTTGCATCAAAACGGCGCCCCATACGAAGAAAAGGCAAGAGAGATTTTTTGTCACAAATTGAACGAGGAATTCAAAAATGATTTTTAATTTGTAATATCTCATTGGCGTACCATTTTTTTCTTTAAAAAAATTGAGATTATTACCCGTACGCGCGTCAATGATGAACATAAAATTCTTAATTGCGTGTCAAAAAATGCGCAATAACTACCTCTTAAAACGCACCAAATTTTATTTGCACATCTCGACCGGTTTCAGAGCAATAAATTAAATCGTCAGCTTTTAAGAAAAACTTTGACACCCCGTATCTCGGAAAACGAATCATTTGCGGACATACGTTTATAAGCAAACTGCCATTATTTTCTCATGTATAATAACACCCTGAAATTTGTCGCACTTATTTACTAACACCCTGTATATTATGTATTTGACTTACTTATATATTTAACATAATGCTTTTTATAGAGTAGATATGAACCAGCACAATTCTTAGGTTAAAAATTAAATGAAACAACCCTATTTTGCTGTAGTAGTCTCTAATAGCATAAATAAAACCAATGAATGTAAAATAAGGTGTTAATTACCTAGGTTAGGTACTAATGACTTATTCCCATTTCGGCATCTTTTTATGTTTCTCAAGACCCACCATCAATTTTATATCATTGTAATACTGTAATCCTTCAATTCGAATACAGTCATTTATCTGAATGAGATGGAAATAAATTGCCTGTCTCCATTGAAAAATTTAAATAAGTGGAAAACCGAAGGCAATAAAACAAAATACACATGTAAGAAACTCTTACAAATGTGCCGCTTATGGATATCATTTGCCTACAATATGACTGGCGCTCAAGTAGGAGGCCACAACAGTACTCTATTTTTTAAAAATCGAATATATCGACAGTATATTTATGGAAAATTTACATATTCGGAAAGGTACATCAAACACTATTTTTCGATGTAGTTGCCTTCAACCTCAATACATTTGTGGGTTTTCTGATACCTTCGTCAAAAAAATTTCCCACAGCCTCTCAGGCCCATTGTTTCACGACACTGTGGACCTCATCATTGGTAGAAAACGTTTTTCCTCCCATAAACAACTTCTGAGGAGAAAAGATGAAATTCAGAAGATCAGGGCTGTGAAGTGGGTAGTTGATGATGCTACAACCTAATGAATCCAAGAGTTGCTTTGTGGAGTTGGCTGTGTGGGGCCGTGCATTGTCATTCAACAAGCATACTCCCTTCGTTAATATTCATGCAGAAGAGATCTGGTGATTTGTGGAAACACTGCGTTCATCTCGTCTAAAGTCAATCAATCGATGGTCGTCAAGAAGCATTTCTTCGATCTTGTTCACCATCTCGTCGGTCACGATTGAGGGACGCCCACTCCTTTGTTCATCATGAACATTCGTTCTGACAACTTCATACTATCGACACAAACAGTTTTGATTTTGTTAAACATTTGGATAGCCTTTTCCTTTTGCAAGAAGAACCGGATTACGCTCCTCACCTCACAGCTAGTGGGATTCGGAATAGCGACACTCATTTCAATACGCCACCACAATAACAGTTCTCAACTGACTGAGACAATTGAGCACGCATTCTGCTTCAAACACTTGTCGAAAACAGAAACCGCAAAGCATCAGAGTCTCAGTCAGTGGCGGCTGGTGCAGGAGAGCTCTGTCCCCCCCCCAGGCATTTTCATAGTAAAAAAAAATTATTTAGTTTACACTGTTATATAGATAAATAAACAGATTAGTCTTATAAAACACATTGAAAAGGAAATGTTTAATTTATAATGTGCAGTTAATACGACTTGCAAAATTAATTTGGGAAACATTGAATACGTAGGCTTTTCGTAGCTCGCTCCTAAAGTGTTTACAGCGGTGGTCATGGTTAACGCCGCGTAGCAGTGAAAGACAGAGTGAAGTAGCGCTTATTTGCTATGTAGTTTAGGCTCTGTTTAATTCGCCGCCACTGGTATCAGTACTCTTAATATGTGGATATGCCTCGTAGGAGAGTTATACATGGGCATATATATATATATATATATNNATATATATATATATATATATATATATATATATTTTCTTGTACAGTATCGTATGTGATTTAATTGTTATATTATAATCCAATAGGTAATATACTCGAGTAGTAAAACACAGCTTATGCGCTATTCCATGATCTACACTCACATCGACTTCGTCTCATATGAGACAATAATAGAAAATAAAATAATGGCGACATCTATAATGCTCGTCGTCTCTTAATTACAAGGCTCACTATAATGAGAAAGAAAGAAGCAGAGTTAACACTACCAAGTGTCCAAACAAATAGACTTTCCAATGGTGAAAATCGGTAAACTAAACAATATGTCATTGCAAATGTTTACTCTTAATAACCGTAAAAATAGATTTCCTCTTGTCTTAAATACTATTTTTTGCATTATAATCTAGGAATAGGCAGCTCTATTTGCAGCTAAGTATAAAAATATATTTCAGTAGATTCACTGCATTATTAAAAAAATTATAAGAACTTATTTTCCTAAATGGCTTTAGTTTTTAGGATGCAAATTGTTAAAGTTGTTGAAAAATATAACATTTAGAAAATATCTGAAGATATTTGACATTAGGTTGATGAAATTTGGGACTGTGACTTAACTAACTAAGTAAACGCCAAAATAAGTAAAATCATGTAAAATTATTCAGAGATACTGGCACTAAAACCTCAGAATTACGACGCCACTATGTATTTTATAAAATTGGCCATTGCATTTCATTTCTAATTGCATTAAAAATAAAAATGGTCTTTTATTTTATTTGAAAAAACGAGTACCACTTTCGTCCATAGTGGCCTTAAATCCAAAAGCAAAAAAAAAATCAATATCAGGGCGGGACTAGAAGTTTTAATAGGTAGTGGGTTCGCTTCTTAGATCCTATCCAGAGATCAAGGGCAGATCAATGATTTGTAGCTAATGCCAGATAAGCGCATTGCAAGTCTGTAACATGCGGCGACCAGGCAAAGGAACCCGAAAAAACTGCTACCTATATGTTTTTATAGTGAAATGAGTAGTAAGTTACTGTTAAGGTTAGACTAAAAAAAAAAAATAATAAAAATGATCAATTTTTTAAATAAAGTGAAAGGAATTCTTTGATCAAATTTCAAAAATAGTGGCGTCGACATTCTGGGATTTTTAGTGGTATTGTCTATCAGTATCTCTGCCATTGGATGATAAAATTGTATACAAATTTAGCCACTTTCTATCTTTATATAATTAAGTCACCGAGTTTCATCAGTCCACATCAAACATATTTGCGAAAATACAGGGTGATTTAGACATATTAAAAAAAATTTTTGAACGTACATGAGATTCTTACAAATACAATTGTGTAAAAAAAAACACAAAGAGCAGTTCGAAAATGATTTAAAAATACACTTCTGCACGCCCTGGAAACTGGTCTACTGTAAAACCTGAACTGGCACAAGGCGACCAGCACGGTGGCAAAGTGTAATAAAAAATGAACGGACAAAAACTTGAAAGAATTTTGCAAGGAAAGAAATAAATAGAATTTTATATCAACAAATTCAACAGCTTTAGCCGTTATTGTTATTATTAATTAATAATATTATTGAAAGTAAAAAAATAATATAAATAAAATTAAAAAATATATAATAAAAGTAAAAAATTAAGCAAGCCTTATTAGGACAAAAAATATTCTGTGCAGATAAAGTCCTTTTTTCATAGAAAATTTATTGATGAAAGTGATTCATAATAAAAATTTATGTACATATATCATGTTTGAAATAATTGCTATTTGATATTTTTTGATTTGATAAATCATTAAATTGTAGAATTGCTACAAAATCTGAGAGATTAATTATATTTTAATTCTAAGGACATTCTATTACAATTTTTCCAGATCCCTTATAAAAAGAGCACTTTACCTATACAACATGGAGACATATAAGAATCAAGATGAACCTATAAAGAAATTTTTTTCTACTGACGGAGCTTACTTATTTTTTCGGAAATAAAAATACATTACACATTATTTTTTAACAAAGCAGTCTTCCAAAAAGTCAAATTTCGCGTAAAAATATTTTGTCATTGAGACCTGTACATGTTAAATATGGGAAAAGGATTGGCTATTTATATTTCATAACTAGTATATTGTATTAATGAGTTCTAAGGATAAAATTAAATGCTATAATTCTAATATTCTAATAGGAGACACCCTGTATACGTTGGTTCCTTCAAAACTATGTTTTTCTACATTTGAACAGAGGCAGACTTATTTAACAAGAATTATTTTTTTCATAAAACGGAAGATAAAATGTTCTCTTTTCTACTCCATCCGTAGACTAGCACATGCAGAGTATACTTAGTGCAAATGAATTAATTACATATTTCGTAAATCGGTGACTGGACAAAAATCCTGAAACAGGTCAATTTAATTTTTTTTTTTAAGTATATAAAAGTGCGTTCTGCGTTTTACATATGACGTCATCTGTGTCACAGTGGTGACGTCATCAATGTTTTTTTAAATGCAAATGGGGGTTACGCGATAACTCTTTTGCGAGATCTTGTAATTCTCTATTCAACCATATCAATAAGCTTAGAATTTTGTATAGAACCAAAGAAAAAATTCTAATAGTCTAAGATCCCGACTTAGATCGAAGATTTCTAATGAAATTTGAATTTTCATATTATAATGTATTAATAAACAAACTTAATAAAAAATTCAAAATTCAGTGCAAAATTCAATTCAATTCAAAAATAAAGTTCAATTCAAAGTTACCGTTTATACCTGTCTACCTGGTTTTATGCAAGGAACAAAAATGTCGACCAAACTTTGGCATATTGTATACATATTTTCCAAAAACTCAATAACTACATTCATGAAAAAAAATTAACAACTTTAATTTTTCATTATTTTATTAAAAATAGCTGTGCAGGGAAATTGGATGTCGACCACATCAAGTTCTGTTTATTAATACATACATTATATTATCAAAATTCAAATTTCATCAGAAAACTCGATGGGTAAAAGTCGGTCTATGTCGGGATTTTGTACTACAAATTAGAACAAAAAAAAATCAGCAAATATTTATAATATGTCTCTGTTGCAATACCTTTTGTCACCTGCAGCCTGAATACCACCGCCAGTTTCAAGAGTCCAATACTTATCTTGCATGGTGCGAATATACCACCTTTTGGTACTCCAGTCAAATTCTAATTGAAACGTTTCGTGGTCTGAAATTTCTTCTTGATTGGCAGTCACATCAACGCCTGAAATCAAATGTAGTGTCATTATAAAAAAAGTGAAAGTCGTACGGAACATCTATCAAAAATAATAAATAATAATAAACAAACTTTTTACAGATATACACACTATCCCAGTTTTAATTCGCTAAACTCTGATAAGTAATACAGAATTTCATTTTAAGAGAAAAAATCCTATGAATAAGGTCTGGAAAGAAATTCATGAGGTCTGTAACATTATAAAATCCTTCTTCAATAAACTGATCATAAACAAATTGTCCGATTGTGTTAAACAGAAGTTTTATTAACAGAACCAACAAATCTATAATGTGCATCACCCTGAAAAGATGTTACAAATGTTTACAATAGATAGAACTTGGAAAATAGTACAAGTTCCTATTAGATATCCCAGAAAGGATGGGGCACAAATAATCGTCTTGATTTTTGGAATAAGATTAGTTTAGACCAATGATTTTCAAAGTGGTCTATATACCTCATTTGTTTCCTATTTCGAAGAGTAAAACAAAAGGGGGACAACTTTCGTCAGATCACTCTGTATACTCTCGTAGTGTCAAATGCCCTTTGCAATGATAAGTGGTAGGCATTGATTTAATAAGCACGTTACAGTTACGACGAATTTTCCATTATTTTTGGTCTCAGAATTTCAGTTTATATTTTCAGCGAAAATGATCGATGAAATTATAAATTATATACCATGCGTTACTTTAACGGTTTTGCATATTAAAACATATGTACATCGTAAAAACTTGATTCTTAATAATTTGATGATAAATATTCATTTATAGACAAAATGGAAAAAATATATAATTAAATTACAAATACCAGGTTGGTCAATGAACTGATACAGGCATTACCCTAGAGACTCGATAGGACTGAAATGAGAATTAAAACTTCTTATACCGCATTTTTTGTTACAATGATTTAAAGCGGTAATACGTACAAAGGCTATTTGAAAAAATCATTACAAATGAACTGTCAATTAAGGTTTTATAATGCATCTCCGTTTTGTTGTATTTGTGTAATTTAAGACCAATATTAATTTTCTTGCCAGAATTTAACAGTATATCCAATTTTATTTAGCTATAATTAAGACCATGCCATATGGTTCATTCACATAATTTAATACATTTTAAAATGTCTGAGAATATCCTTCAATCTCTATAAAAACTACAAATCGTACGTTGTTAATAGTAACAGCAATATTGACCCACAAATTTCTGAAAAATAATTTTATTTTCTACAATGACATTTAAACAGTTGTTTCTATCTAATATAATTTAAAAATACCTATGTTAAACAGGAAAAGTTATTTCCACAACGTTCAATTGGATAATACTGTTAGATAATTTAAAACCGTTGCAATACGTGGGTATATTACTTTCTAAATATGTACCATATTATTTTTAATTGTATTCCGGAATTTACAAATACAGAAATCGACATGTAAGTATACATGGTGTCCGAAAAGGTTATGTCAAAAATGAAGGGGTGTACAGGGGAGCTCAAAATAATTGTAGTACTTCATAAAAAAATTTCCTATCGGGTTTCGTTGTGGAGTTATTCGTCTTCAAAGAAAGAAGTTTGAAAAACAAATTCAATTATAACTTCTAAGTCGTTCCCACGACAACAATGAAATTTGAGCAATTAAAGTCACTCATGGTAGGTATAGTCTTTCCGAAGTCAGTTGAACATGCTAAAAAACGTCTGGTAAAAAAATTTAATGAGTTTCATAGGCGTCCCTAAAAAAATTTTCTGCTAAAGGTAAAAAATTATAATAATTTGTATATGTGAAGAAAATTTCTATTATATGTTCATTTGGCCAACAACATATTTTAATTATTTATGTTCTCAAACAATTTTATTATATTGGTGGTAATTTTCGTTTTGTTCCTTTTCAATAGGTCTCCAAAACGTCATGTTGCGATAATATTAGTAAAAAAATATCCCTCTTATTTCTCCCTTTTGCAATAGGGTTGATGACTAAATTTAAAAAAGTAGATAATATAATTCTACTCGTACTTAACTAGCTAGTATGTATGCACATATGTACATGTATGTGCATGTATGTACTAACTAGTGTGTATACACAATTAGAGATTGAGAAATGCGTGAGAACAGTTTTAAAATAATTATTTAAAACTGTTTTTTTTTAAATATTTCAAAACGGCTGTGACGTCATAAGAGGCACCCTGTTGTGAAATTATGCGTAAAGCGTAAAGGAAAAAATTGGAAGAAGAAGACGCTCTGTCAACACTGTCAGTAGTGTTAGTCTGTCAGTGACACTGTCGCATAATAGTATATTAAAGTATAAGTGGATATTAAGGTCTTTAAAACACGCGCGATTTTTCGAGCACGACGGCGCAGCCGGAGTGCTCGAAATAGAGCAAGTGTTTTAAAGACCAGTTATCCACGAATACTTTACGCTATTTTTTTTATTGGTACGCGTTGAAATTATAAATATTGTATTAATACTACAAAAAAATGGAAATAAGAACTAATAATGTCAAATAGTTGAATTTGTGATGTTACATCAGTATACCTTTCGTTGTCAAGAAAACGGAAAACAAAAATTAATTTGTAACTGTATTGGCACATAAGATTAATTGCTGTCACCACAGTTATTACTAGTTGTATATTGTTTAAAAATGACTTCTAACATTGATTAAATAGTAAAGCAGAATCGCGATTAATACCGTAAAAATCGCTTATAGAAAAGAATACGTCCATCAAAGGATGGAAGAGCAAAAGGTAACAAATACAGATAAACGAGTTGTGCTTGCTTATCTTCAGAAAATGTCAAATGTATTAATTTGAACACCATTTCATCTGATTTAAAAAACCGAAGTATTAATATTTCAAACAATACCAACTGCACATTTCACATTCATTTAAATAATTAAGATGTTAAATATTTGAATAAAGCTTTTGAAACATTTGTTAGTAATATTTTATTTGACGTTACAAGGTACATCTGTCAGATCAATAATTAAAAAGATGACATTTGGACTTGACGTTTCTCGGGTTCTTGATGTTGCCATGGTGACTTTAAAACACGCGCGTTTTTAAAAGTTGCATTTAAACACTCTGGGGCGTGCTTTAAATAAGCAAAATAGGGTAAAAATAAAAAAAATATTTTCAAGTCTACGAGTTATTTTCTTTAATCTGAATTCCTTTATTAAGTAAAATTATTATTTAGTAATAATCATTTAATATCTTACCTTAGAATTAAAGCAAAATGTGTGGAACGGGATTTGTGAAAGCTACTTCGCAAATTTTACCGAAAATTTATATTTTTATGATCATGAACTGAATTTTTAAAAAGTGACGATCGTTTTAATATTGGCGAAATCAGAGGTATAAAAGCAGTCAGGTAAGGATCGACATATTTAATGAATGATTTTTTTTAGGTATAATATAAATAAAATAAATAAAAAATAATTATTTAAAATACCTATTTATTTATGGAAAATTATAGCGCAGTTCTTATGGAGATAATGCAATTGGCTATGTGGAATGTGGAACAAAACACCACTTAAATTTTGTTGAATCCATTACAATCAGGAAATTAATAATAACTATCACTAATACTCTTAACTGATAGACTGCTGTCACTAGTGTCACTTTTGTTTAAAAAACAGGAAACATAACAGAGTTTGACTGACAATTTTAACATATTTTCTTCTTCAAAATTATGCAATAGGATCGCTACCAGCTTCTTGTTCAATTGCCCCTCATGACGTCAGACTAGTTTTTACGTAACGCAAAAATTCATAAATGATTTCTACCATATATCTGTCATATATTTAAAATTTTGGTAATTATTTACTATAGTGGCACCCTCTCCAATTTTCACAAAATTTTGTCTACCCCTCTATTTTCGATGGTGCTGAACACGAATCTGTAGTTTTTTTTGTGCGGTCGAACTCAGTTTTTGAGAAAAAAATTTTTCAAAATTCTAACCTGAATATTTCAGATAACACTACGTAGAACTCTGGTATATTTTATGTAGCTTTCAGAATCTGTAATAAACAATGAATATTGTTTAAGAAACACATTTTCCCAAATTTGAACTAAAATAATATGTATTTAATAAATAAAATTATAGTAACTTTATGTTGTCAACTCAATGTTGTCATCACGAATTACAAATGGCGGATTCAAACTACAAAATTTTTATTTATTAAACACACATCTTTTTACTTGAAATTTACGAAAATGTGTTTCGTGAACAGTGTTAATTGTTCATAACAGATGTTCTGAAAGCTACATAAAATATACAGAGTTCTACGTAGTGTTATCTGAAATATCCAGGTTATAATTTTGAAAATTTTTTTTCTCGAAAACTAGGTTCGACCGCACAAAAAAAACTGTAGATTCGTGTTCAGCACCATCGAAAATAGGGGGTAGACAAAATTTTGTGAAAATTGGAGAGGGTGCCACTAAAGTAAATAATTACCAAAATTTTCCTATACAGGCAGGTTCTTTTATATAAAATCTTTGTATCAACAACAATTTGTATATGGTTTGTTTTTATAGTCAACAACCCTATTGTAATATGAATGATTGATAGAAGGTGCCTATAAGAAATTAAATTTATACCTGAATCACACCAAATTCCGCATTGCTGCACGGCACTGCTGGGCAATTTATCAACCACTTGTCATCAGCTGTGATTTATTGCCCAGTAGTCCAATGCAACTGTAATCGTTTTCCTTTGCCCGCGCTCGTGTTCTTCAACTGAGCGTATACATTTCTATCGCCTCCACGTTTAGTTCGACCAGACATGTATATGGGTATGGCTAAGTAAATATGGGAACAAGTTTTTCAAATATTTCAATGCCGAGTTACTGCGTCAGCCACCGAACCTGGTACATACTATCAATCTGTTGGTTCTTCAATTGATATGGGAAAAATTATAATGTTCATTTCCAAGTTTAAACTGATATTCAATAAGTCTGAATTATACAGGACCAGACAAGCTGATCCATTTAAATTTATATATTTTT